GACGAAAAGCACACCTGCTGGGGGAACGCGCGCGCTGCGTTCCCAAAGCCGATGAGGCCGTCTGCTTTCTGGGAGTAGATCATGCCTGCAGCACGAGGGGCGAGGAAGGAAGGCGCGGAGCGGACGCTTCACGCGGCAGCGCGGCGCGGCGAGCGGCGCGGGCTGGCGGCGCGCTGCGCAGCAAGGACGGCTGTGGGGCCTGGGGGCCGCTGCAGCGCGCCGGCGGCCTGGCGGGTGCGGCCGGCCGCCCAGGTCACCGCGGCCCCTCCCGACCTGTCTCGTAGTTGATGCAGCCGACCACAGCCTGGATGGGCCCGCCGTCAGACCCCGGGAGGGTGATGACTACGAGAGTGGTGTGGGAGGGGTGGGGCGGTCGAGCCAGTCAGCGTGGGCGCTTCTGCAAGGGGAGCAGCCAGCCCTGCACGCGCAGCAGCCCGGCGGCTAACGCATCTGCGCCTGCGCCAACTGCAAACAGAGCGGGCGCGCCGGCCGACCTCAGCGGCCGACCGACCCCGGCCGCGGCCCTCCGGTCTGCAACGCCTGCTCGGCGGCGGCCAGCGCTCCTGGCGCAGCAGGCCGCCGTGCGGGCCCCGCGCGGGCCCGAGGCGCACCGTCCCGGATCAAGTAGCCCTCCGACTTGCTGGCCTCGGCGTAGGTCAGCGAATAGTAGCACTGCTGCGACACGCACCGTGTCCCGCCCAGCGCCGCGCAGCTCGCGTCGCCGCACGTCAGCGCCGTGGCGGAGCTGGAGGCCTCAGGGTTGTATGGCTTTGAGGTGTGGGGGCCGCAGTGCTCGCAGCCGTCGCATGGGACGTATGTGATTGTCGAGCCAGTGTCGACGATCAGGTCAAACGACTTTGGGAGGACGAGGGGGGTTGCGTGCGGCGGCGCGTCGCGCGGGGGCCGGGGGCGGCGGACACAGGCTCGCGGAGCAGCAGGCGGAGGGGGCGGCTGCACAGGCGCGAGCCGTGCCGGCACGCGGCACCGGCGTGGCGTCGGGGGTATGGCGAAGCTATCTGCAGCTGCAGCACGTGCTGCTGCTGCTGCTGCTGCTGCTGCTGCTGCTGCTGCATGAAACGCGGCAGCGGTCCACCCCTACCCATCCAACCTGGGCCGGCGTGCCGATTTTGAGGGGCGCCGTGAAGTAGCCATCTGCGTTGCATGCGTCGCCGCACATGCACTTCATACGACGTTCGCAGCCAGCAAGAGGCTGCATGCAACGCAGCCACTGCTCGTACCACCCAGGCTGTGCTCCGCACATGCGCCCGGGCTGCGCTTGTGCGCGTCTGGCTGGCAGGCCACTACACAGGTTGCAGCTCTCTACGCCCCCCGCACTCCGCACCGTGAACGCTGCCGCTCACTTCCGCCCGCGCGCTGCGCAGGAGGAGGCTCCTGCCATGCCGCACTTTCACGGGCGGCGGGCCTGAGTGCCGCCGCAGTGGCAAGATGACGCCGCTCCCTGCCGCTGCATCGAGGAGGGGCCCCAGCAGCAGCGCCAGCGATAGAACCAGCTGCAATGATGCTCTCCGCCAGCCCATGGCAAGAATAAACAGCCAAAATCACACGACCTCTACCGGTATCTACTGAAGGCGTGCCATGCTAGTCGGCGCGGTCGATGGAAGCGCGCGGGCACCGCTGATGCGATCGGACAAGGGCAACGATAGCACAAGAGTTCAGATAATTAAGACGAATGAGAATCTGCAGGAACGGGTCACGGTCTGCCTGCTCCAGCAAACCTGGTCACCTGGTGTGTGGGGCGGGTGCCGTGTAGCAGCAGTGAAGGCCATGTGCATGTGCGAGGCCCGCAGTACACCTCGTGTGTGCCCCACAACATGGACTATGTAATCATGCTGTTCTCTAACATGCCCTGCCAAGCAGGCAGGTCGAACACAACTGTGTGGAGCGCCTGGTGACAGAGCGTTTGATGCGACCAAACGCGTCCTGAGGCAGCATAGGCGGGGTCAAATGCTCTGGCGCATATCGCTCCTCTGCAGCCACGACGGCTCAGCGACTTAGCTCAAGCGCATATTGCTGCCGTACGTTGCAGCTGACACAGGCCTGCCCGGCGGCAACCAAGGGCGCCCGGGCACAGAAGCGTCAATATGCGTGCTTACAAGTGGACAGACCACCATCAAAAATGTGGGCACAAGGCGATGAGAATCGTTTTCCAAAAGCGTATGCGTTCAGAGCAGCCGAAGGGGCTCTTGCGTTGTGCAGGGCCTCGCCCAGCGCCACCGCATGCAGACGGCACAACTCGCCAGCGGAGCCGCCCATTTGCGGCGGCGCACAACGCCTCGTGTTCGCTCGTGTTCGCCCATCAAAACTACCAGTTCAAAAACAAGCCACGTGCAGGGTTCCCGGATCAGAGGCAGCTGCAAGAGGCAGACAGCCACCCAGCCGGCCGCTACGCCCAGTCCCGGCCGCCCCGCCGCGGCCCCTCACACCTGCAGCAGCTCCGAGGTCGTCGCCGCCACGTTCTCCCTCGCCGGCGGCCGCGCGAGGAACAGCACCGCCGCGGCCACGCCGCCGCCGCGCGCGGCCGCGGCCGCGCCGTCCACCAGCTGCAGGGCGCCGCGCTCGCCGGCGGGGGCCAGGTAGTATGCCCGTGGGTCAAGCTCCCCCTCAACGTGAGCATCCACCACGAGCAGCCCCGGCCCCACCATGCGCTTCTTGTCATCGTCGCTCTTGCACTGGCTCGCCGCCACCACCGCCGCGTTGCGGCTGCAGTCCGGCACGGGCAGCGCCGCCGGCCGCCGCGCGAGCGAGAGCGCCTTCCACTGCGGCAGCGCGACCCACTTGTGCGGCGCCGTGCCGGCGCCGGCGGATGCGGAGATGGTGAAGGTGCCAAAGGCGCCCTCCTGGCTGGCCGACGGCGCGGCCGCCAGGTCATCGGCGGTTGCCACCCCAAGGTCCGAGAGCTGCGGCAGCGGCCTGCGGCGCGTGACAGACGAGGGGCGCCAGGTCCAGGAGCAGGTTCGTGGCCGCACACATTTACCGTGAGCGGCTCCGCCGTTCGCAGCCTGCGGCCGAAGGAGCAGCCGACCACACGAGCGCCGCGCGTCCCGCCGCCCTGCTTTGCCCCGCACCCCTCGCAGCTGCGCCGCGCCGGGCGCGGCCCGGCCGCGCGCCGCGCCTGCATGCAGCCACGCGCCCCCGCCCGACGCGCCCGCCCACAGGCCCCGACGCGATGCCGCCCGAAGCCGCCCCACCTGACGCCGAGCTCGTCCGGCGACAGCCGCAGCAGCGTCAGCATGATGTTGCTGGACAGCGCCGACGAGCCGCCCGCCTTCGCCGCCTCCGCCTCCTCTATCTCGCGCCGCGCCGCCGCGACGCGCGCGCGCGCGCCGTCGCTGGCGGCGACCGCGGCGGCCTGGTCCAGCTTTGCGTACGCATCCTCCGCAAAGCGGCACTCGATGGCCTGGGAGAGCAAGAGATTAAGAAAAGCCGGCGACCGCGACGGCGAGAGGGGGGGCGGTGAGGCGCGCGGCCCTTGCAAGGCCGTGTGCGTTGCAAGGGCGCACGCGCCCGCTGCCTGCTGCGGCCGGCCGCCTGGACCTGCCATGCGGTTCGACACGCAGCTCTACGGTGTATCGCCGCCAGCGCCAGCGCCCGGGCCGCTGCGCCGCGCGCGTGCGCTCTGCTCACGTCGCGCATGTATTTGAAGGCGAGGCAGTCCGGGGCGGTGTTGCGGAACCCCTGCCTCTCCCCCGGCCGCCGGTCCCACTCCTTCATGGCGCGGGCCAGCACCTCGCACTCCTGCGGGCAGGGAGGCGTGGGCGCGACACTCCGCATCGTGAACAAAAAGGCGTCCAAAGGGGCTCAAAGTGGCGCGGCCGCCACCAGCGGGCCACGGACGCTGCCGCTGCGCACGGCGACCGAGCATCGTATCAATCGCAAGCGCGCGGCGCCGTACCGCCAACACGGGTGCCTGCTCGTAGCAAGCAGCGCCACGCCCTCTCCCTTCGCCTCTGTGCGGAGCAAGCCGCGGGGCGCGCGGGCCCCCTCGGCCCACCCGCCGCCCCCCCCCCCCAAAAGCCATGTGTCCACGAGCAGCAGCGCGGCGCACCGCGGCGGACAGGTCGTTCGCGGCGATGTGCTGCGCCGCGTCGACGCGCCGCTCCGCGGGCAGGAACCTGAAGTGGTACAGCAGCGACTCCCCGCCCGCCTCAAAATGCTGCAGCAGGCCGGGCGCCTCGGCCGCCTCGGCGCTCGCGGCCAGCGAGTCGTATACCGTGGACGCAACGAGCCAGAGGTTCTGCTCCAGAGGCGTGATGCCCGTGAGCTCGTCCAGGGTGGTGGAGTCGTAGCCCTTGGCGTTGAGGGCCGGGATGATCTTGGCGAGCTGGAACCAGTGGCCGGCGCGGGAGCGCAGCTTGGAGATCATCTCGTCGTCGCTCAGCGCGGGGCCCGCGGGCGCGCCGGCGTCGGGCGCGCCGTCCATGAAGCCGGGCGGCGGGCGGTATCGGTTGGGCAGCGGGCGGTCGCCGGGCGGCGCGCCGGGCGCGGCGGGGCCGGGGCTGGCGGGGCGGTCGTTGGGGAGCATCAGGCGCTGTGCGCCGCTGCGGCCGCCAGGGCCCGCCTGGCCGGGCAGGATGAGGCCCGGGCCGCCGGATGGCGCGCGGCCCTGCTGGGGATTGCCCCCCGGACTAATGATAAGGCCACCACCAGGGTTGCTGGTGGGACGAGAACGTCGTGCATGGCATTGGACCACCCGCACTCGGGAGTGCTGCTGCGAGCCCGCCACGGCGCCTCTGACCCGCATCTTGATCTTAAATGTTTCGCACGCTATCGGAATATACAATGCGCTATCAAGGGGCGAGGGCTAGGCCGGGCTGCAACGACTAGTAACGAGGCGAGCTCTGTCCAGGCCAGATAAGTGGGTAATTCAGGAACAGAATCGAGCCACTGAACATGCCGCACGTCGATGCCGTCAAAAGAGCCTTCGCAACCCACATGCTGGTGTGGCAACATCCAGTGACACAGCACACGAAGGCAGAAGGCGTGTTCCGCATCTTGTCTCAACTTTCGTTCGGCGGCCGCGTCGGCGGGCCCTGCGATGCGGAGCAGTACTTGATGCCCGACCTGGGCGCCCAGCATAAACAGCCCCCAGCAGCCGATGCTCCCGCATGCAGCGACCCTCTCGCGCTCTGCAGCGCTGAGTCGCTCGCGACATTTGACAGCGCCGCGGAGGGCAGCGCCAGCAGCAGCTACAGCGGACTCCTGCGCCGCCCGGCGCCGCCCACTGCTGGGACCTTCCTCAGCCTCCCATCAGACGTGTTCCCCTGGCGTGCTGTTGAGATTGCAGCAGCCGTCCGTCCTTCCGAGCGGGACCCCGCCACTAGCGGCAGCCATCTAGTGACAGCTCAGATGCAGTCGGCCCCTCTCACGTCGCCGCAGGCGCCGCGATCCCTGCAGCCGCAGCCGCAGCCGCAGCCGCAGCAGCAGCAGCAGCAGCAGCAGCAGCAGCAGCAGCAGCAGCAGCAGCAGCACCAGCAGCACCAGCACCAGCACCAGCAGCAGCACCAGCACCAGCACCAGCACCAGCACCAGCAGCAGCAGCAGCAGCAGCAGCCCCTGTTGCGGTCGCATGCAGGTGCCTGCATCAGCTCAAGATTGGGCACCAGCCAGCAGCAGAGCCTTCAGCGACGGCGGCGGCAGCGGTGCTGCCTCGCGAGCAGGCCGCCCTCCTGCAGCCACAGCAGCAGCACCGGGGCTGGCTTGGCGGCCCCCTCACAATCCGGCCCTGCTGCCGGCACCGCGCATCCTGCGCGGCCCCGGCCCCCTCCCCCTGCCCTGCCGCCGCGGTCGCCACGAATGGCCGCGGGCGTGCCCCTGGCCCCAAGCTATCCGGCTGCGTTCTACTCCCAGCCCCTGCTGGTGCGGCCAGCGTTCGTGGCGCCCGCGGGCTACCCTTCGCCGGCACACCTCCCCTTCCAGGGCGCCGCCGCGCCGTACCCTGTGAATTTTGCCGGGTACCTCAGCAGCTTCCTGCACTCTGATTTTCCACACCACACATCCGATGCAGCGCCGGCGGCGGCGCCGGCGGCGTCGCACATGCAGCACCAGCCACACCAAGCGCCTCAGGCGCCGACCTCCGCATCGCAGCCCGTCGCAGCACGCAGGCCCCAGGACAATGGGCCTGTAGGCGGCGTGGTCGGTTGGCCGGGTCCCAAACAGCCGGCGGCGCAACCCAAACACACGCTAAGCGGTTCCCAGCCCGTCCTCCGCGAATCAGAGCTGGTTCAGGCGGCAGTGCTTTCTCAGCCAATGCTCCCGCCCTGTCAACGTTGGAATCAAGCCCTACCCATCTTTTTTATGCCCTCCATTTGCACCCTTTAAGACAAAGTACTCCGTGGCATTGCACTTGCATCGGCTTTGCACTCATCTGGCGCCAGACACATATGTTTCGTTTGATGAGTCAAAGCGAGTCAAAGCGATTCTGTGGTCTGAGCTGACAGGCCACCAGGGCTGTACTTCCTGATCGGCATTAGAAATCACCAAGCGCGGAACTCCCTACACACCAGCCTGCCTAACCCCAACCACCTCGCGGGCGTACCAGGATAAACTTCCGGCGTTCCCGCAGGGGCGCTGGAGGTAGCCTTCTCGTAGCCTTGTGTGCAATGGCACAGGGGCATCCTGGCTGGAGACTGACATACATGCAGAGAATCGGCCTGGAAATGGAGGCCGATGAGCGTCAAGATACCCAATGAACTGGGCAGCATTTCCGCCCGCTGAGCTTGCCAGTATGCGGCGCATGTTCTGGGCGTCCGCCGAAGGCCGCGAGCTTATCGCGCAGCACGTGTCATCGATGCCCCCCTAGCCTTGCGGACCCCCCGTGCGCCATGACGGGACTAGCATGCAATCACCCTCACACCTGCTATGGTATCCCCAATTCGTGGTGTGGAGCCTGGGCGGGGGCAAAACCAGACCTGGACCTGGGAGACCCGGTGTGTGGACGCCGACCGACAAACACTGCCGCAAGGCACTACGGCAGCGCCGCACTCCAGCAACCTACACACCAGCCCGCCTCATTTGTGTGAAATACAGCTCAGCTCTTAGAGAACGGCCTCTGTCCCGGCCATCGGGGATGCCCGGTCCCATTAGAACTCACTCAGTTGTACCCCTGCTGGCAGGGGGTCCAGTAGGGCTGCAGCCATCAGCACCCAGATGCACACGCATGACATCGCTGCCCTGGATGTCTGCGTCATGCCTTTTTATAAAGGCATAAACGCACAATCTTAGCACAATTGATGTATATCTCACTCCCAAGCGGTCATGCCTCGTGACTCATGCTGCCAACCCGACCGCAGGACCCTGTAGACGCGCAGCCATACTTACACGTGTTAGAGAAATAGGTTGGCGTGTACCGCAAGCACGATGCCACCTCCGACAAATCGACCAACTACGGTTAGGACCCGCCAACTGGAAGGATTCGCGATCAACTCGGAACTTGATGATAGCCGGGCTCAAGTTGATCCCCCAAGTATGGCGACGCTATTGATGCCGCCCCTGCCTGCGTCGTCGTGTGTGGCTGTTTTGCCCGATGCTCCGTCACCCTGCTCAACCCCGGACCGCCGCTCAACACTGTGTCCTGCCTCTTATATATCAGCAGTGTGGCTTTGTTTTCGTCATCAAGCTGGCGCTCCCAACACTCTTGAGCGTAGTGTTGTGCAACACTTGCAGGACTTTGTAAGGGGCAGTGGTCGCCTTGTCGTTGTGCTGCAGTCATTGCTAGTCAGCATGCAACAGGTCACACTAACCCATCATACTGTCCTGTAAGTTTGCCAGCACACGGCGTTTGCAGGTCAAGATGCTCAGATGTGGCAAACTTGACTGTGCAATGTCTCCCTGCCAATGTCACTGGCGCACCGACCAGGGCACCGGCAGCATGGGCCCGACAGCGCACTCCATACGCACATGGCAACTCGCAAGATCTCATTTGGCAAGGTGGATCGGTTGACGGCTGCCTATCAGGAGCAGTGCCTTTTGGAATGACTTGTCGAGCACTTTGTTCGCGATGTTCCACACACCGTCAGCGCGCATGCATGCTCACAAACCTCTGCAAGCTGTAAATGACCACCTGCTGATTGGACGCGTGCACACCTGGATTCCCTTGTTGGGGGGGCCCTGTGCAATGTGGGCCTGCTAGGGTGGCGGAGCGGCGCGCTCAGTTTGGGTCACCTCTTGGCGTGAACGGTTACAATATCCCCGTGCCCAGCTCTTGCTGGTTGAGGCCACAGGGGAGGTCCTTGAAGCATTCAAGGGGGTTTGGGGGAAGTGCCTTCTCAGCTCGCGAGTTGCAGCCAGGCGCCGAACGGCCCAGGGCAGCATGTGCATGGCGTCCTGGAGCGCCGGCTGCAGATGCCGTCCGCTGACAGCATGGAGATGCAATTGCAAGTCTGGCGCCGGCGGGATTGCCGCAAGGCTGACAGCCCTTCAAAATGCAACGCCCTGAAGGTGCAGAAACCAGAACCAGCGACTCCCTGGTCAACCACCGCTTTCCCCCTCCCCCGCGCGGCTCAGCACTTCCTGCCAGCTCTCTGCAGCAAATGAACATCGTGCGCCTGCTGCAGCACACTGCCTGGCTTGGCCCCGGGGTGCCACGGCAGCTCGGCAGACATGCGGGCAGGGTAGCGTGCGACGCCCTCCAAGCCCGCCCAATCCAAGTCCACAAACCTAACCTCCCACCCTGCGCCGCCGCCCGCCTCTGCGCCGCGAGCGCGCCGCACCATGATATTGGGGCCGCGCATGTCGCCGTGCACAGCGAGCGCGCGGCCGCCGCCGTGCTGCACAAGGATGCTGTGCGCGCGTGACAGCGCTTGCTCCACAGCCCCAAAGCACTGCTGCTGGTCAGGGCTGCTGTCCCCAAGCTCGGGAAGCATCTTCCAGCCATCCGTCGCTGCCAACAACTCCGTGGCCACGCAGCAGTAAGCACCAGGCAGCGCGTCGCAGCGGTGCAGCGTCGGCACCAGCCCCTCCTCCTGCCATGCATCATGTACCTGTGTTAGAAACACATCATGGTCGACATGGGCAAGCAAGAGGCAAGAGTTGAGACGTGGAAGACTGAGCGTCCTAGTAAGCAGCTGCTTCGTGCTATCAGCAGGTAATGGCGTAAAAGTTCACACCCTTGCAATGGGAGAGATGGCGTGTTCCACGCAACATTCAGCTCTGCAAACGGTCTGCGGTACGGGGAGTTGCCAGGCTTCCGGGCCAGGCGAGCTCGCCGCCACACCTCTGCAGCGTAGCGCCCCAACAGAGCAAGGACAGCGGAGCCAGGACAAGCAACCATCGTTGCGCTTCACAGCTGCTATGGCTCACGTGCTTGGGGTAGAGCAGCGTGGTAAATTTGATGAACTGGGCACGCCCGTCGGCCTCTGTGGCTGTGTACAGCAGCTTGCCGTCGAGGCCGGGCAGCTGGCTCAGTGCCGCGTCTATGCTGTGCAGCAGGGGGTAGGGGGGCAGCGGCGCCGCGGCGGTTGGCGCAGGCGCCGCTGCCACACGCCAGTCCGCCACGGCTTGCACCTGCGCTGGCTCCAGGCTCGCGCTTGCCAGTGCTGCTTCGTACTCAACGCCCAGCTGCGACAAAGAGCCCAGCACCTCCCGCGCCCGCTGCTCAAGGAGCGGCAGGTCCGCCGCAACGCCACCAGCAGCCCTGACCATGCGCTCTGCCAGCGCCCAGGCAGCTGCCGCGTAGCCAGCCAGGGTTGCCGCCAGCAGGTGCAGCTGGCGGGGCTGGCGCGCGCCCTGCTGCACGAGCGGGATGCGCGGGGTCAGGGCCTCGCTGACGATGCAGTCCGAGTGCAGCGTGTACAGGCCTGCATGAACAGCAGGGTGCGAGTGGAAGGGATAGTGAAACCCCATACAACCGGACACAACCGTGCCGGTCGCAGTTGGGCCGCACAGTGCGGGGCCCGGGTGCTGCTGAGCCCTTCCGGCCACCGGCTTGAACATCATGTGCGGCAACATCATGTGCGGCATGTGTGCAAACAATGTCAGGGTAGATGGTGGAAACACAATTCAATGTGTCTCCTGCCCCAACAGGTTGCCCACGAGCATGCTCATGAGGAGCGCACACATTGAAGCATGCGCTGCTGGCTGATTCAACAACAGTCTAAGCAGCGGTTTCCAGGCACACTCTGCAAAGCCTGGAGCAAGGGTTGACAAGGCGCAACAGCAGGGACCCCTTGTCAGTTTCAATACTTCACACAGACAGACATGCCCTAGTCAATGTTGGAAGCAGGGGCCGCCAACGTACCGTGGATGAGGAGGTTGGGCCCAGCCAGGTCCACTCCAAGTGCAGGCGCCCCCAGCGCACAGATCACTGGGTCCTCGTGCCACATGCGCTTGGAGTAGCATTGCTGCCGGAAAACCACATGTACACAACACGCGCGCGTGGGCCTGGTGCGATGTGCCTGGTGCCTGATTACAAAACTCCACACTGGAAGGGCTTCAGGCAATCAGGTCATGGCAGCATCCAGCAGTGAAGGCGACGGTGGTGCAGCAGAGCGCATGCAACAAACGGATGAGCGCACAGCATCTTCTGCAACAGCATCCAGAGCTCACCTGCATGTATCGCTGCAGCTGGTAGTGCGGGTCGCCACTACTTCCAAGCTCGTCCTTCACCTCCAGCAGGACGACCAAGTAATTGCAGCTGCTGCCCACCACGTAGAACTCGCCGTCCAGACATGGCTTGTCTGCACTGCCACTGCTGATGCTGCCGCGTCTGGCATCTGAGAACCTGAAGCCCACCCACTTGTCGTGCCAGTCGCAGAAGGCCTCGAGGCGGGAGTTCTCGTCTCGGTGGAACCGGGCCATGCAGTCCAGGAGCTTGATGGCTGCCTGGGGGGCAGCCATTGCAAATGAAACAATTGCCTATGCTCAGTCCAGGTTTAGACACGTCAACGTTGTACTCAAAAACTGGTGTCCAATCTCCAGAAGGCAAGCCGCAAACAAGCCACGCCTGCCGGCCCACATGCCAGAGCGCTTCGGGGACTCGCCTGGTACCAGTGCGAAGGAGGGGTCCACCGCGATGCCAGGTACGCGGCATCGTGCACCACGCCAAACTCTGGAGACAGCAGCATGGCGGGAGGTGCGATGTCAAAGCCCACCTCCACCTCCCTGCCAGCTATGAAGGCCCACCTTCCAGAGGCCGACTGAATGTGGCGGTGTGAAGAGGAGTGCACCTCGGGCACGTGGCATCGGACCTTCCAGGGGGTTGCGCAGTCACTTGGCGAGAGACAAAGCCTGTGGTAGGCAGGCCCCTCGTAGCGCACTGCGTTGCAGGAATAGCGACGGGGAATGTGCGCATCCATGGCTGAATGGCACCCGCAGCCCCGATGCTGGAGCTCCAACAAATGTTCAAAACAGACGGGTTTGTGCAGATGGGGCACGCATGGCGTTGCAGCGATATCGCCTCACAAGGCTCAACACGTTGTCAAATGACCATGCATGACTCACCTGCTGCTGCTTCTGCTGCGGATCGATGCAATGGCCAGGCGGGTACCGCAGGCGGCCGCATGCGAGGATGCAGGGGCAGAGCGTGCAGGGAAAGGTCAAACACTGTTGCAGCACGCACGGGGCGGCGTGTGGGGTTGCGCTGCAGGGCATGCGATGCAGCTCAACACCTCAAATCGCAGGTGGCATCAGCACTGGGGTATTCAAGTGATCTGAATGAGGCAACTGAGCACAAAGCATGCGTGCTTGCTGCATGGGGCGCACAGGGTTGCCGCCATGCCGTGCTTGCAAGGTGCAGATGGGTCTCCAACCAAGGTCAGCACTTGTCCACCGCCTGCTCCACCTTCACCGACAACGTTTCCTGTGGCCAACCATGAAGCCCTAGCCCCAGCCAACCAGTCAGGGAATTGAATTGTTGGATGCACACGCAACGCACCTGATGCTCCCCCTCCTGTGCCTGGACACTAGCAAAGGACAGAACGGCGGACCGCAATAAATGTCACAAGTGCACCGGAGGGGAAGCCAGTAGGTAATGGGACCCGTTTGCACAGGTGGGAAGAGGGAGGGAGAGAGAGCGGAAGGATCATCTGAGCAGTGTTGTCATGGGCTTTGCAGTGAAGAGGATGTGGCGATTTGAGCGCAGCTGCGAAGCATGCAACATGGTTCCAAAACGACTGCAGGACATGCCTACATCAACACGCTCGCATAGCTGCAGACATGTGGCTATTCCCCCCCTCTAGCATCATCTGGAAGCCAGTGCGGAGACAGGCAGAGCTCGCCAACCCAAATTGCTGGCATGTACATTTGTTGCAGGGCGTGAGCAACGCACGACTAATTTGACCCCTTCAGCTCGTGCTGCACAACTCTGTGCTGCTCAAACGGTTGTTCAGTACATGAGGGTGCAGATAGGTCATGCACCCTTCCACAGAGGCTCAGCATGTCATGTGCTTGTGTCAATGAATGGCGTATACCCTGTGCACAACCCAGCCGCACCTGGCTGCTGCGGCTGCTGCTGTTGCTGCTGCAAGAGGAGCAGCTCCTTCTGAGACGCAGCCGTCCGCCGCTGTTCCAGTGCTGTCAGCCGCTGTTCCAGTGATGTCAGCCGCTGCTCTCGTGCTGCCAGCTGCTGCTGCAGTGCTGCCAGCTGTTGCTGCAAGATGTGACACTCTTCAGGTTGCTTCGCATCTTTGAGTGCAGCCTCTCTTTCCAAAATCGCCTGTTTCGCTTCTTCAATCGCCTGCTCGACTCGAGCAATCGTCTGCTCGACACTGTTCGCCATCGCGTCCTGCAGCAGAGACTGCAGGGCATGGGAGAAGTAGCCAAGGATTGGGAAAATCTCACTGGGCCAGATGGGACAGGATGCTGCTGCTGGGGGCCACCTGCAGCACAGAGCAACCATCACAGGACAATGAGGCCACATGCCAAACAAACCATACAAACAAACCATACATGTGTGCGGGCCATGGCTTCTGGGGTGGAATTGAACAGGAGAATTGGGAGTGCAGGCAGCCACGTCAGCACCGCGCCGACATCCAAGACGCAGTCTTGATCCTACCCGGCAGCATTGAAGCACCCCTTAGAGCTTAAAATCCTTCAGAGAAAGGCTGAAGGGCAGAAAAAGGACGAAGTTGGTCGAGATGGCCCGGATGAGCTGCTGTGCTCCAAGCGCCGACGGGCCCCAGCGCTGTTCGCGTGCCCGGCGTCTGTTCGTCGGCCGTATGTATCACTGTGGTGTCACCGGAGGGGCCTAAGGAGTGCACATCTTGGCGGAGCCCGGAGGTGCACGGGACTGCCTGAGACCCAGCTTTGTTGCTCCTGGGGCCGCGGCCGGCCAATGAAGACAGTTTTCGGGCTCTTAATATACCTGAGCTGGCCGGCGGCCCCTAAACACCAGATAGCAGAGATGAGGGATAGGATGCTGGCGTTCGGTCGAGTGGAAAAAGGTGATGCTACGCGTATCTAGCATATTAATCATGTGTTTTATGCATAGGTGCACAAATCGCCGCGCGTCAGCATGCCGTCATCAGAAGCAAACACAGAACTACCGTATACTGTAAAGCCAGTTGATTGTGGGGTTCTGGCATTTCCGTTGCTTCTGTTGTGCTAACGCGGGCCTGACAGCCTCCCTTGCAGTGCAAGAGTCAGTGGTGCGGTACGCAGCCCATTCAGGACATGCATGCAAGAAAGTGCAGGCGGTGTGTGTGCAGGCGGTGGATGGCCGAGAGGCGCAGCACGCGTGATGCCAGCGTGTTGCAGGGTGTCGTGGTTGAGCATTGTCCGAAACTTGGGCGAGGAGGCCAGGGCAATGGGAGCGCGTTGTATCTGCCTGCTCACAGAGGCCGGCTTTGGCTGCCACGTCCTGTTCAACGCGACCATGAACAAAGTCACAGGGCGATCAACAGCGCCCTGGGCTCAGTGGCGTGATGACGGGCTGGCAGCCGCTGACCCCGCAGGACGGGCGGGCTTGTGCAGGGTCTTGTGTCGAGGCTGTGCCTGTTCGGCTGGACAGTGGCTGCACTGTGCGTTTGACTCGCAGCGTGACCGAGTTGGCCGCCCGCGACGGCCGCATGTACACCAAGCAGACGGGTTGTGCTAGGACCGCGCATCGCGCACAAGGCGCGAACCCCTCTGGAACCACCATCCCGCACGTCCGCCGCGTCTTTACCCCAGCCATTGTCTACGTCATGCTCAGCCGCAGCAACTTGTACGTGTTCGGCAAGCTGACGCTTGCCGATTCCTTGTCTGTGCATGAGGCCGCATTTGCTGCCGACAGGGCAGCCGCGCGGCTCACGCGCGCCTAAAATTGTGCATCCGCCTCCTGGCCCGTGCCCTTTGGGCGCATCAGACATAGCAAGTTGCTCACGCCATCTCCCTTCGCCCTGTGCCTTGGCAGCGCATCAGCTTAGGTCACCATGTCGTACCGCACAGGTGTGACAGCAGCATGGCTGGTGCTATTGGGCCAGCTCACCCCGAGCGGAGTGCGGCAGCAAAGCATCGCAGCACTGTCGTACCGTGTCCCACAGCATCCAGATCCAGGCTTTGACAACGGGGCATTGGCTGCCAGGGGCACATGGAGCCAGTGCGCTGCAGACAGAGCCGCTGGAAAACGCTGACCGGGCCTTGCGACGTTTGACGGATTTGTGCTCGGATTTATATCATGATATCAAAACCATACGAGCCTAAAGGAGGCCAGGCGTCGCGCTGACGGGCGTCTTGCTGACGGAGCGGCATTGCAGCCCGCCGCGGCGGGCCCCAGCTCAATGGGCCCGTAGGCGGCGTGGCCGGGTGGCCGGGTCCCAAACAGCCGCCGGTGCCACCCAAACACAAGCTAACGCGGTTTCCAGCCCATCGTTCGCAAATCAGAGCTGGTTCGGGCGGCGGTGCTTTCACAGCCAATGCTCCCGCCCTGTCAACATGGGAATCAAAACCTACCCATCTTTGTTATGCCCTTCACTTGCACCCTTCAAAGACGAAGTACTCCGTGGCATTGCACCTGCGTCCGCTTTGCACTTATACTTTGATCAGTCAAAGCGATGCTGTGGTCTGAGCTGACAGGCCACCAGGCCTGTACTTCCTGATCGGCATTGGAAATTGCCAACCGCGGATCTCGCTATTGATGCCGCCCTTGCCTGCGTCGTCGTGTGTTGCTGTTTTGCGCCATACCGTACTCTGTCACCCTGCTCAACCCTGGACTGCCGTGCGTCGTGAGTGCCGCACACTGCGTCCTGCCCCAGAACGGCTTTGTTTACTTCATCGAACCAGCGCGCGCAATACTCGTGAACGTAGTGTTGTGTAACACTTGCAAAACTCTTTAGGCGACGTGGTCGCCCCCTCTGCTCCCTCTTGGTGCTGCAGTCGTCCTGCCCTTGGCGTTCCGCATGCAAAAACAGGTCACACGAACCCATTCTATTGACGGTATTTGCAAGTATGCGGCGCATGCTGGTCAAGATGCTCAGATCGTGGCAGAGTCGACGGCGCTTTCAAAAAACGTCACCCTGCCAGTGTCACCAGCGCGCCGACTAGGGCGTCAACAGCACACGCCATGCAGCATAACTCAGCCGCAGACGGCCACTCTCAAGATCTCATTGGGCAAAATGGATCCGTTGACGGCTGCCTATCAGGACCTGGCCGCTCGGGTGGCGCCCCTGGCTGAGCAGCCCCATCTCGTGGTCGCCGCTGCGGCCGTGATTGTGGCAGTTTTACTTGTCACTTATGTTGTGTGGGACACGCTGGCATACGCCGCGATCCCGACTCTGGACGTGCCTCTGAAGCAAGAAGAGCTGGCGGAGACCCTTGATGCTGAACAATACTCGCCGCCCAAAACGTTGCCTAAGGACAAGATCCCATGCTACGATCCCGGCACGCTGCAGTTCCTGGGCTATGCCAAGGCGATGACGCCCGACGAGGTGCGCGCTGCTTTGCTGCAGCTGGCTGCACGCATGGGCACTCGGGCCACCCCTGACCAAGTGCTGATGTTGCCTCGTGGGGTGCTGCTGTACAGGTGCGTGCGAGCATCGCCAAGGCAAAGGAGGCGTCAAAGGTGAGAGCCAGTGGCCTGGTGGCTGTTACAGGACGGTGGTCCGCACAGTCCACGGTCCACCAACAGAAGGCAGGGGTTGGCTTTTTCGCCTGAGCATGGCGCACCTGCGACGCATGCGTGCAGCAGTGGTGTGTGCCTGGACCTGCTGTTGACCCCTCTCCAGCCTGCGGCGCTCGTTCAGTAAGCAGCGGCGTGCGGCACCCGCCCACCCAAAATCCCGCCCCTGCCCGTGCTGGCATTGCACCCGGCGCCTGCCCTTCAGGTGTGGCGCAGCTCGAGCTTCAAGCAGCGCCGAATCCTGCTGCGGGTGCTCCTCAAGTACATTATTACCCACCAAGAGGAGATCTGCAGGTGCGGCTGCTGCCATTTCATGCCACCCCGTGGTGCCTCGCAGCATCGCCTCAGAACTTACTGGACCTGTGGCCCCGAGCGCCAGTGTGTGGGGCGCGAAGTAGTAAGTTGGTGGCTTGGACGGCAGGATGACGGTGTGGCCACGCTGGTGCTGGAGCCCTGCCCCTCTTCCCCCTCCTACAGCGAACGCCAGGCCTAGCTCCGGCCTGTTAGAGCCGGCCTCCCCATACACGCACGCGTGCGCGCACTCGTGCGCGTGCACGCACGCACACACACACACACACACACACACACACACACACACACACACACACACACACACACACGCGCGCGCGCGGATGCACACACACACACATGCATACATCCACACACAAGTATGCATACAATTATACACGAATACGCACACCACATGAGCACACACGCACCCACACCATCCCTTGGCCCCAGGGTGTCCTCCCGCGATTCTGGCAAGACCCCCCTTGAGGCCGTGCTGGGGGAGATCATAGTAACTGCCGAGAAGCTGCGCTGGCTGGCGGCAGAGGGGGAGGACGCGCTCAAGCCGCAGCGCAGGAGCGCCGGCGTCATGGTGCGCGCCGGCACGCGGGGGCCGCGCCACGCGGCCTGCATGTGCGCGGCGAGGCGCTGGTGGCAAGCCGGTGCCGCCCGGGCCGAACGGGGATGCTTGAGGGAGAGCTTCCGGCGGGGCCGCCGCAGGTGCCCGTGAAGTGCCGGCCGGGGGCCATGCAGCGCCTGTTGAGCGGGACACGCCTGGCACGTCGGCGCGTCCAGACGGGAGTCCTGGGCCAACGCGCCCCCAACGGCCCGCCCGCCAGGCCTTCTACAAGGCTGCCCGTGTGGAGTACGTTCCCGTCGGCGTCGTGGGCGCCATCGTGCCCTGGAACTGGCCGTTCCACAACGTGATCAACCCCATCAGCGCCGCCGTCTTTGCGGGCAACGCCATCGTCATCAAGGTCTCGGAGCACGCCAGCTGGTGGGTGGGGGCGGGGTGGGGGGTGGTTTCATGCCCTTAGGGGTGGGGAGGGGAGTGTTCATGTCAACGCTATCTTTGGGGGTGGGGGGGGGCCGGAGTGTGTTCATGTTTGGAAGCCACGAGGCCCAAAGAGTGGGGATGGGGCCAGGGTGGGAACGCGAGGGGCCCTGGTTGCGGGCCACGCCTGGCGCTTGCCGTCAAAACCGCGAACCTGACGGCCTTCATTCCAGCGCCTTGCACTGCGCCCCCTCCTTACCGCCCACTCGCACACTCCCTGCGCCCCCCCGCGCACCGCCGCCGCACCGCCGCCGCGTCCTCGTCGCGCGCAGGTGTGCCTCTTACTACGCGCGCATCGTCAACGCCGCGCTGGCCGCCGCGGGCGCGCCGCCGGGCCTCGTCCAGTTTGTCACCGGCTACGGCGACGCGGGCGCGGCCCTGGTGGCGGGCGGCGTTGACAAGGTCGTGTTTGTGGGCTCGACGGAGGTCGGCGCCAAGGTCATGGCGGCCGCGGCGCCGCGGGTGACGCCGGTGACGCTGGAGCTGGGGGGCAAGGACGCCTTCGTGGTGTGCGGGGACGCTGACTTGGCGCAGGTGGGCGGTGCTGGTGGTGGTTGGGTCTGGCTGAGAGCGGTCGTGTTGATGGGGCGGTTGGAGGCCCAGTCGGCCACCAAAGACTAGTCGGCCGGCTGCTGGGCCCGGCTGTCCTCCTGGGAAGGGGCGGACCAAGGCCGCATGAATGGGCTTGTCGGCTCAAGAGTCAAGACTGTGTGTGCGAGTGCCGCTGCAGCCGCCTCGCGAGCCGCACTGCGGTGCCGCCCGCGGCGCGCGCCCGAGCGGCCCCGAGCAGCCTCCGCGGCGCGCCCCGGCATCGCAGGTGGTGCCGATTGCTGTCAAGGCGGCCTTCCTGAACTGCGGCCAGAACTGCGCCAGCGGGGAGCGCTACATTGTTGAGAGCAGCATATACGACAGCTTCTGCTCCAGGGTGGCGGAGACCGCTAACGCGATGCGGCAGGGGCCGGCGCTGGGGCACGGTGGGTGCCGCGTCGCTGGCTGCCTCGTGGCGCGCAGCTCTGCGCCACAGAGGGGGCCAAGGGGTTGCTGCCTGTGGTGCTGGGGCTGCGGTAGGAGGGGCCGACGGCCCCTCTGGCTGGTGATGAGGTTGTGCCCTGATTGCGCCAAAAACACCAACAAAACCTCTTCCGCCTGCATCCAACCGCACGCACGACCCCCCTCCCCCCCCACACACACATACGCACATTCACACACATTCACACACCCACGCACGTTTGCCACCACAAACAAACAACACACGCGACCCCCCTCCAGGCCCCGTCGACACGGGCGCGATGTGCATGCCGGGCTCTGTTGAGAAGGTGCAGCGGCTGGTGGACGACGCCCTGTCAAAGGGCGCGCGCGCGCTCTCCGGCGGCAAGCCCAACGCCGCCGCCGGCGCCGGCCAGTTCTACCCGCCCACCGTGCTGGTCGGCGTGACCAAGGGCATGGCGATATGGCACGAGGAGGTGTTCGGTCCCGTGATGGTCGTCGTGCCCTTCAGCGGCGACGACGAGGCGGTCGCTCTCGCGAACGACTGCGCCTTCGGCCTCGGCTCGAGCGTGTTCAGCGGCAGCACGCGCCGCGCACGCGCGATCGCCGCGCGCCTCGAGGCCGGCATGACGTCCATCAACGACTTCAACGCGACCTACATGTGCCAGAGCCTGCCGTTCGGGGGCGTCAAGATGAGCGGCTTTGGGCGCTTTGGCGGCGTGGAGGGCCTGCGGGCGCTCTGCGTGCCCAAGGCGGTGGCGGAGGACGCGTACCCGTTCATGAAGACGACCATCCCCGCGCCCTGGCTGCACCCCGTCGGCGCCGCCGCGCAGCCGTTTGCGGTGGCGCTTACGACGATGTTCTACGGGCCGAGCCTCGCGCTCAAGGCGCGTGGGCTGGTGGGGCTGCTGCGGTGCCTGGTGGCGCCGGGGGGCGGGGGCGGCAAGGCCAAGCGCGCGTGACACGGCCCGCGTGAGAGCGGGGTGGGGCACTGGGCCGGGCGTGCAAGGCAACCCGCTTAGCCGCGCCATTCTCGGCATGGTTTTGACAGTGCGTTTGGTGTGGTTGCTTCTCTTTGGTTTTCTCCCGGCTGCTGGCAACGCCGGTGCGGCGACGGCTTGCGCACGGCTCGACATGCGTGCAGCGGCAAGAGCGCCGCGCCCAGCTGTCCCCACTGACGCGCCGATGCCCCCTGTGGTGTTTTGCCTCCTGCCGCCTTTGTGGCTTCCGCATGCAGCGCCTGTGCGCAGTTTTTTTGGATCCTGTCCATTGCGGCTGCTGTGTGCTGGGCACCGGCCCTCGGTGCGTTGGCAGTGCTGGCTGGCGCCGCGGGCAGCTGCCATGCTATGGCCTGCAACTGAGTGGTTTTCAAAGTGCAGCAAGCTTTCGCTCCCATTGTATACCTCAATTCATAGTCACTAGGCTAGGAGGAGCCTTTCTCCCCCCTGGGTAATAGCACGAGGGAAGAGCCGCGCAATGCCATGCCAAGCTATGCAGCCACTCGATTATAGATGCTCAGCAGCCACACTCGAGCGAGCAGGAGCACCCTGCCCTTTCAGGATGGCAGGTGGCGCCCTGTCTTGCTGCACCACTGATCACACGGCTGGGCTTGGCTGCACACCCTAACACTGGCGAGCATCGACGTGTGGGCGCCTGGAGCCTGGTGACGGCAGGGAAGCGCACGTTACCGGAACAGATTGACGAATGGCAATGGCTTGGATTGTCACGCCTGCCTACACGGGCATCAAAACTTCGTCGGGGGGAGAGGCGGCGGCCGAGGCGGTTGTTATGCACAACCCCCCCGGGTCGCCAGGAAAACCTCCGCCCCGGGGCGCACGCATAGCATGGAAGCTTCCATCGCTGCGCCTGTGGGTGCACGGGGTATCGATTGTGGGTCGCGGCGCGCGGCGCATATGGGTGCGCACGCACGCGCCTGCGCGCCCGTGGAAAAGGCAGTGTCGCGCGCAGGCAAAAGTTAGGGGGAGCGCGCTGCAGCGGCGCCTGCCCAGCGGAGGCGGCGGGGCAGGGCCCCTTGCCGCCGCCGCCGGGACGAGACGCCGCGGCGGCGCGCCCCGGCAATGAAAACGGGCCTGGCGGCTCCGGCGGGCGGGGGTGGTGTGCCCTCTCCCGGGCGAGGCCATGGCTTTATGTGTCAAAAGTCACACACACACGCGCACACACTAAGCGGGAACGACGCTTCAGTTGACAAAAATGTATTCCCCAATCTTCAACAAGGGGAAGGGACACGTGTACGTACGGGAGGGACGGGCCGCGTGTCCGCGCGCGGGGCAATGCGGCCGCGGCGGGGCGAGCACCCTCAAGAGTGCAGTTGACTGGGTGGTGGGTGGGCCGAGCCGAGGGCGCGCGCGCAGGGGGGCGCAAGCCGTGAGGGCGCGTCAGCCGCCGCCCGCGCAGGCGCGCACGCTCGTGGCCGCTGGTGCAAAAATCAGGCATTCATCTGTTGCGCGCGGCTGCGAGGGAAAACGCCGCTGCGGCCAAGTGCGTGGTGCTGTGAGGGATCATATCATGAGGGGCCGCTTCGCAATGCTGTGCTTGCGGGGGGTGATGGGGGAGGCGTGAGAGACTGCGGGGCACGACATGCTGCCCGGAGGAGGCACAGGCCGCGAAAAGCAGCCCAGGCGGACGTGCAGGGGCGCGCAGACGCTGGTATGGACGGAGCGCGAATCAGCGGCCCGCCCGCGGCTGCGGCGCGGCTGGCGCCAACCTTGCTTACCCCTGCGTACAGTTAGCACACCGCAGCCCCGCCTACATGCTATATATGCTGGTAAACTCCTGATGGTAGGCAGCCAGCCAGCGCGCCCCACACGAGGGGACGGCTGTCGCCATGCGGACGCGCCCACGCACCGCGTGAGCGGACGGGCGCGTTTGTTCTTTCAAGGTGGGTTTTGACGGCATGAGGCCGTCGTCGCTGACACGCTTGCAGCAACACCCACCTGCACGCGGCAGCTACTGCTGCTGCTGTTGCTGCGGCGGCGGCACCTCGAGCAAAGCGCCCCAGCGGACAGTGGTGATGCGCCCGCAACCGGGCTCATTTGCGACCGTCCGTATCGCCGCGCGCGGCATCGGCCCCGGGCCGTTCCTGGCCCCGCCGCTGCTGCTGGCGCCCCCAGGCGCTCCTGCGGCCGCCGGCGCGCCCCCAGCTGCGGCTGCGGCTGCGGCTGCGGCGCCGCCGAGCAGGTTGCCACGGCTGCCCGACTTTCTGAGGGCAGCGGCCAGTAAAGACTTCACCTTCTTGCCCGTGGGCCGCCGCTCCTTCCACTCGGCACTCGCTTTCCGCGTGAACTTCAAAACCGAGTTCGAGTGCCCCAGCCCGCCGCTGCCGCCGCCTGCTGGGCCACCACCGCCGAATGCGGCCGCCACGGCTGCGGCCACCTGCGCAAGCGCACCGCTGCTCGCGACGCGAGGCGGCAGGGGCGGCTGCTGTGGCTGTACCAGCTGCTGCGGCTGCTGTAGCTGCGGCTGCTGCGGCGGCGGCTGCGGCGGCAGCAGCGGGGCAGCCGCCGGCGCAGTGGGCTCCAGGGTGCCCAAAGT